TGGCTGGCGCGAGATAGTTGTACGCGGGGGAGGGTGGGGCGGTTACACGATGGGTGGTGACGAAGGGGGAGGCAAAATGCTCCGTGGTTCTGCGACCCACTGACCCGCTCGATAACGCTTCCACCGGGGTCGCTGACCTTCCTCACGCGCGAAATTCGCGTTGGTACGACCCTCTTGGCGTTGCTGCGTTTCTCGGCTCGAATCAAAGATCATCCCGTCGTGCGAGGAGTTTCTCAATCGCGGGCGCGTCTCGGTGCATGCCGTGGTACCGATTGTCGTAGCCGATCGATGTACAATGACGGCGAACGGAAGTGCGCAAGCCGACGAAAACGGAGCTTGACCGATTGTCAATCTGGAATGCTGGAATTGCTTTTCGATTGGTCGATTCGGCGCTCGAGGATTTGGCGGAATTTATTGCGCCGTGTATACACGTTAAGCGGGGACGAGAAACCGCGATGATTGGAAAAAGCGCTGCTTGCCCAAGAACAAAATCGCCGGCTTTTGACGATGCAGCAACAAATGAATAAGAGTATTGCAACAAAATTCGTAAATGTGCAACGTATGTATTTCACTTGCAATATATTGATGTTAACCCTTCAATACCACACTATATCGTTTTGTTGTGAGTGCAACACACTGTGTTGTATGTCATACCCAACCTATACAATACGAATTAGATACTTGCAAGTTTTTTAACTGAATTTACACAATTCATCTAATCATCATAGTTTCGACTTTATCATTCATGAATTTTCAATGAATTTTATTTTATACATCTTATTCTGCATTAATTTTTAATCTGTTGGATGACTCTGATTGCTTATAATTTTTATAAAAATGAACAATATTGTAACAAATATTTTTTCAGTCAAAATGCCAGACATTAAGGAATAGTGGTATTAAACAAATATATGTATCTTTATTAGTAAAAAAAGTTATAAGTAATAAAGTAAACAGAAATTGTGAAAGATTATTTGTTGAAAAAAATAAGAAGCCGGATATGTCATACTAAGAGTGACATTGAAGGGTTAAGGCAATCGGTCGGATTACTGATCTTTATCGATGATTCAAGATCGAGATTTGAAGTATATTGCGAGTTATCTTGAGTTACATTCTGTTAGTTGGCAGGAGTCGATTTAGAAGAGTACATTTCCGCTTTCGATAGCGAATGTCTAATGTTATTTAGTGACTACATAAGTCAGACAACGGTTCATACTCTCAATCCTAGGCTCCACGATGTTACAATCTTTTTCATATAGATTCTCAAGGAAGAGAAAGTAGGGAACGATGACCGTGAGGCACGATAATTATATTAATCAGTAAAGATACCATTTAATTTCGTGGTTTAAAGGCGTACAAATGTAATAAGACCTGCAGCTTTCTCCTTCCGCTGTTAAATATAAGAATCATCATAAAGTTTCAGCTTTTAACATGTGTCCTCAGCTTTCACATTTATCTCATCTTTGCTACTTGATACTTTTGTTTCGCGGGTTATTACTTTGATTCTTTCATCTTTTATATGCGCATTAATAAAGGTGACGAGAGAGCGTAAAAGTGTTAAGCGAGAAATTAAGGATCGCGTGGTAACCCGGTTTGTGCAATTGAATCAGATGCAACAGTTCTGTTGTAGTATTTTTCTGCGTGCTTAATATCACGTTTCAAGGATTGCGACAAGCGAGACACTCACGCACAGCAGTATTGATTTCGAGACCCGTTGGCAGTGCTGCCACGATTCCGCGTCTCTGGAACTAAACTCTGAATGAGAGATATCTCATAAACGATGATGTGCCAAAATTTATCTTGGAATGGAAAGTGATTTCTTTCCCGTTCCGGTAAAGAGCCTTGCGCAGTATCGACAGTAATTTCTTCTTGATGATAATTTCTCTTAAGTGTCCCAAGTTCTTTTACAATGAATTTTTAACAATTCAACTCTTATACTCAAAGAAAACTGCGAAATATGTACTTGCAAGTTTTTTTATACAATAAAACTTTAAACAATTCACACATCTTCTCATCTTCTAAATAACTCTGAATTCATACCATCTGTGAATTTATACCATTTATAAATTTTCATGAATTTGTGAATTTTATTTTGTGCATCTTATTCTGCATTAATTAATTTTTAATCTAGCAGATGAATGACTATTGATCCAAATTTACATATTGCTGTATGAAAGAGCTCTCAAAATTGGTATTTCTCTTTAAAAGCGCATATTAATGCATCATTAAGCCGACAGGCTGCATCAGTTAATACATTCGATGATCTTTATTACAGAATCAATATGTTATTAACTTATCGCTCCTTGTAAATGAAACAAAAATGATCGCGTTTATTTGGCTAATTAAGTAATTTACAGCCCCTACAAAATATATGAAACTACGTTTGAAATATCCACACAGAGATATTTATATCCTGCGTTCTCTATGTCAGCTTCGTACTCTCAGATTTTATCAGAATTTTTTATAGATTATTATTAAGCAATTAATGACACCTTTCTAATTATATGATGGATCGATACATCTTGGCTAAATATATATAAGCTTGAATACACAAATATACTGGCTCTATTTATATAAGTCACTTGCTTGCTAAAACACTAAGCGAACGGGCTCGACGTCTACAAGTATCGGAGATCGTAAAACATGTAACCGCCTTGAAGTAAGTATCTCAAAGCTATTTTAAGTCGCCCGAAGGCTTCCAGAGACTCTTTAATGATAAGCAACGCACTTGAGATATCGGTGTTCCACATGGTGTGATGATTTTCGGGTTAAACGAATGATCCGGATGTTTATGTTTATCTCAAGTTGATAAAATGCAGAACGAATTTTGTCGTACATATATGTACATCAGATATTTTCGAAAGAAAATTATATTACAATAATATGTCCTTACAGAAATCTAATACTGGCCAATTTAATACTGAAAGATAGTAATCAATTATATTATTAAAGTTCTGAAAGTATTTAGTACTTAAAGAGCAACAGTGCTTTTAATATTTACTCAAAATAAATAATTAATTACTACCGTCCAGTATCATACTTCTGTAAGAATATCCTTTGATTATATCATAATATGTTCCTTCATATTATACCATCAATTAATTATGAAATTAAAAAATTCCCTTCCATCAAGTTAAATACTTAAACACATTTTGTGAAAATCTTAAATATTATTTCGTACAAAATAAAGATGTTAATATATATCTTACAGTCAAGGGCCTTACGAACTTGTATTTGTCAGAATGTACTTACTTCGCATTCTTTGGCAGCATGCCATTAGCTGGACCGGAATACGTAGGAGTGAGGCAGAGGGGTGGGTTATTCGAATTCTGTGGAACTAGAGGCTGCCTTGCATGCGCTGGCGATGTGTGCGAGCCATAGCCATCGGAATTCAGCTGAAATTACCATACAGTAAATTTAAACATTTCCAATAAAACTTTTATCATAATTATTACTTGTACTTTGAAATTATGTCATGAATACAATTATACTTTATCATTACAATCTAATTTTATTTTGTGAGTACGGAATGTCCAAAAATCAATATATTCTTTTTCATCATAGATTCTTTAGTCAGTTGAGTATTTACCAATATGGATATATTTAAATTGTCCCATATTTTTGTTAGAAGACTATTTCTGAATATTAACCAAAAAAGTTCTGATTAAACAGAGCTGCAACACTCAGTGCGGATTATGCATTGAGAGAAAAGCGTTTGGTATTGTAACTATAATTACATGGTAAAATAATTATAGTTAAGAGTTCCATTTTTATATACTACTATAATATTAGTAATAATAATTATATTTATAGTTTTACTAAAAAAAATATATAATAAAGTTGACACCGAAAGTGACTATAAATTATATTCATATTATGGTAATAGCCATCTTTTTCTCACAAGGGATTATATATATATATATATATATACATATAATTTATTATATCGTAAAGAGGCTCGTCTTCACCGATCGGCATACTTTTCTTCTTCTTTCTTATAAAAAAAAGAAATCAGTATGTCAGTCGACTTCAGTGGAGACTATACTTTAAATTTGATTACTCACCTTGACAACGGTACCAATCAAAGAATCAGGTGGCATTTCTGGAGGTTCAGGTATCACACCTGGATTCGTATGCGCCGGATAATCATTGTGTAGATTAGCCTCCTTAACAGGAGTACCTCCGTCGAGTCGTTCCATGTCCAGGCTATCAGTTGGTGTCGGCTGGGAGAGCAAACGCTCTTTCATCTCATGTAAGTATGGACACCGTTGCATCTCTTCAGACTCTTCTGTTTTGTCTCTTTGACGATCTGCGGAAGAATAAAATTACATCAGAAATATACGGGCGAAAAAATTATATTTATCAAATATTTAATATATTCAAATATAGAATAAGCCATCGCAAAACTTTACTCATATTTTACAATTGCTCAAATTTTATTTTAAAAGACAATTAAATTTTTATATTTTGCACATTTGTTTCGTTATGAAAGATAACTTTATTGATCATTTCATTTCTTCTCATAAATTTTAGAGAAAATATATTAAATTTCCAATTTTTATGACTAACCGTATATATAAGTCCTGAATGAAACTTACGAGAGACATGTTATTGATCGTAAAAAATTTAAATAAACATAATTTAATAAAAATATGCGCAGCACAATGCCAGCAATTTTATTTATACAAATAGGAATTGAATCTTGTTTTGCATACTCAACCTAAACAATACGAATGAGATATTTGGAAGTTTTTTTATATAAACTGAATTTACATAATTCTTCTTATCTCTGTAATTTCGACTTTACTATTCATAAATTTTCAGTAAATATTATTTTGTGCATCTTATTCTGCATTAATTTTTAATCTGTCGGATGACTTTGATTGATTATAATTTTTATAAAAATGAACATACTGTAATCAATTTTCCTTTAATCAAAACGACAAACAAAACATTAAGGAACAACGATATCAAAGAAATGCATCTTTATTAGTTAAAAAGTTATAAACAATAAAGTAAATAAAAGTTTTGAAAGACTATTTTAAAAAAAAAAGTCGTATGCCATATTGAGAGTGACATTAAAAGATCAAGACAATAAATTGGATTCGCTGGATTTGTTGGGTGTTTCTTTGATTTCATTGAAGCGTACGCGCGACCCTTTGAATCTTTAGCTTTCAACCATCGGAAATAAAACTTTCGTAAATCGTTATGATTTACGAAAGCTTTGAAAAATAAATTTTTATTTTCGAAACAGATAATCTATTTCGAAAGTGCTCAAATTTAAATTAAGTTTATTCTAAAGCTTAGTACAAATTTCATATAACAAAAGCTCATGTGTATTATCGTTATCTTTGTTTATATGTTATTAATCGCTTTGGACTTTGATGTAATTTTATCTGGATAGTGATATAATCGAATGAAACATGAAACACTTGTGCATGTATGTTGCGATGATCGTTATAGATCAGATAAATAACTTTTTTAAGAGAGCTGTATGACATTTGTTCTTTATTCAAGAAATTTAACATTTATTTATTTCTGTAACGTTGTTATTATTATCGTGATATATTATGTTAGTATTATCGTGACATTCTTTCTTCATTAACATATACCCCACATTTACAAATGTAAAATACTACGTCATTTAAATCCACGCTTGAAAGATTTAAGCCTACGCATTTTATCTTATTGATTTATTTCACCGAATCGTTTCACTAAACTTACTTAAAGCCATGGTACCCATGATGCACACTTTAATATGTGTGGTTATTACTGTAAGAGAAAAGGTTTTTGAAGGAGAATTTGCTTTCTCGCGCAAGAACTCAATGAAAAAGAGTGTGTGCCGAGCAGAAGCCAACAACGACAGTGCAAACGCGATCGGATCGGTACTGTCTCAGAAGGAAGCTCCAGCCGTTAACTCGCTTCTTAGCTCTCTCTCCATGGTAGAGTTCGCCAAACATGGAGCTGCGATTGGCGCGCTAGAGTGTTCGCCTGGTCACGTGCATACATCTTTCCACGTGGATGCTCTCCGAAGAACTGGATGAGCGAGATAGAAAACGAACAGGCACCTCGAAGAGATATTTTTGCAGACTTACAATACTTATGTAATAGACTGCGTCTATTTATATGCGACAGCTGAAGACAATATTTAGAAGAATGTCATAAGTCTATGTACGTGACAGAGAGCATATAAACAATGGTGAACAGACCATACATACCTCTGTCCTTCTAAATGTTATCTTCAGTTGTCGAATATAAAAATGAACGATCTCTATTACATAAATTCATGAATTGAAGAGCCGTGACGTCTAACACGATCCTATTAGATTTTAAATTTTACAAAAATGATTCATTCGCCATTTGAATTTGAACTTGCGAATCCGAGCTCAACGCACTGCGCACATTCGTATAAATTTACAATTTATATCTCAGGTATACCTTAGAACATATTGGAAGTGCCAGTCAAACTGAATACCATAGCAAAAGCGTCCCCAACATCTGACCTTGTTTGTTTGAAATCTGTCTGTGCGCTTGCGCTAGATAATAATCGCATATATTTGCTTTATATATTTTAACTTTATACGATACATATCTTTATAATATTAGAATTTCAAAATTGTCAAAGACTTGTATAGACGTACATCACACTAAACAAACAAACAAGAACAAATACAGAGTTTCCCAAAAACATGGACGAAGATAGAAAAATGGTGAAACACTTTTCAAAAAAAAAAAAGTTACCTTATGGATGCTGAGCAACCATCATCCCCAAGTGCATAAAAGCGAGAGGAGTGATGAAAATTTAAATAGCACTAGAGAGCAAGTGAGAATTTATTTACCTTTTGACGATGAAAACACTGATAATTTTAAATCGCTACGAATGAGTCCATTTAAAACGACGATCATAAAAAGTGCAAAATTTCATGTAATGGCATTACTCAGAATCATTACGCCTGTTGTCCTCTCACATCTGGGGGTGATGATTGACCAGGACTTATGCCAAAAGGTAGTTTTTTTAAATATCAGAATTTATCGTTTTTCGATATCTTCGTTTTTACAAAAATTATTACGGGCTTTCCAAACTTTTGAGAAACCCTGTATGTTGGAGACAGCGCTGACACATAAAAGCGTTACTGGTTAAATTTTTTATCCACGTAATTTTTTCATGTATAGTCATTGATCTATTTTAATTTTTATTGATTTATCAAGTTTAATATTTATTCAATTTTTATAAAATTATTATTTATGCAAAATCGCATCAATCTCAATATTGACCCACTTTGAATTAATTTATTTAAATTGGACAAGTTTGTACATTTATAGAAACATGAAGGAAATGCGTCGCTTTGTTGCGGTACAGCACTGGAAGGGCGGTGGGTGTTTGGGAACGGTTACTGACCTATCGCCTCTCACGTTACAGTCTATCTTTGTGAGAACAAGGTAACCACGTAAAATAGTGCGGTAGTAATAGGGAGACGTGATATCTTATGATGCGTATCATACGGGAGGAAATTTTAATTTTATCAATTATCTAATAAAAAATTACATACATTAATTGTATTTTTATTTATTTATTTAGAAAATAATCTTAATATTTCCAAAATTATTTTTTATATTCGCCGAATTTGCATAATTATAGTATCTATGTTCGTAATGTCCATTTCAAAATTTTACCTCATGTTGCATTTGAATAATCGCATCACCAGACGTTGGTAATTAATATCCATCAGCTACAAGCCGGACTTTACGTTATGTCTAGCCCAAGTGACAGCGTGTAATTGACGATACGTACGAAACAAGTCCAAGGATCGAGAATTCGATAACTGTGATCTAACTGAACGCACATTCAGGTGACGTTGCGACATCACGATGTCTACTGCAAGCTTATTCCGTCGTGCAAGCTCTTTTCTCCCTCTCTTACTATTTTTACTCATCGTCGACTGTACACATATACACATACACACACACATATACACGGGCACACACACACACACACACACACACACACTCACACACACACACACACACACACACACACACACACACACACACACACACACACACACACACACACATATTTAGAAATCTGCACTTCGTCGAGAACGACAGTTTTAATTACGAATATCCATTCGCGACTCAATCTTGTCTTCATTTTTCTTCGTTCCTTTCTCTCTCCAAAGCACGAATTTCTTTTCTCTTTTCGCATGTACACATGTGCACATCGACAAGCGCGAAATTATTTCTGCCGTCCATTCGCATCTGCTTTGCCACAACGAGATTTCTAGACGACGTTCACGTGAGAGGACTGATTTTAAAGATCCAGCACTGACAGTGAGCGATGCGGTTGAACGATCAATCACAGAAACACGCGGGATAATGGATTCGAGAATACCTCAAGGGCAATTCTCAGATCGTTGTTAAAACTTATGGTCCAGCATGGATGGTGCAATAATTTCGAGGCGACTACGTATTCAAGAAAAAAATTTGTTCAATTGCTAAAATCGTTATTAAATCGTCAATTAAAATTATAAATTTCATTTTTTGTACATAATTGATATAAATTTTAAATATATTTAGATAACAAATAACAAATTTAAAAAAATGATCGCGTTTAACAGAAAGTTTATTTTGCAACTCTGTTTCCTTCATGCTGATTGGATTATACTTTTAGATCTAGAAGAATAATCTCAGCGAAGAAAACTTCCAACAGTTATAAAATATATATTCTGCTCACGCCGATGTTTTTAGCGATACACGTTTTTTTCCAAACGCATCCGCCTTTTGATTTCCGCCGACGAATTTTATCATTGGGTGCAGTTCGCTCACTGTGATTTAATAGGATTATTCTATTTGAATTGAATTTTTTGACGTCGCGTCACACGCAGTTATAATTGACTGAAATCAGGCTAGGGTAAAAGCCTTCCTATTGACATAGTGCGGAAGAAGGCTTTTCAATCAATCGTTCAAAGAGACACGCGAAATTGAAGAATGTCCTTTCGGAATTTTTTTAACTCCAACATTTCTTTCTAAAGAATTTGCATCATATATACAATATATTTAATGTACTTAGAAACATAAAATTTCATTATGTGCATATAAAAAAATGAAGCATAGCAATGCAATATTACAATGTTGTGCTATAAAAATTCGCATAACTCCAGACAATAATTTCGCTTTATTTCCGCATCCACGTTCGATAAAATCGAAACATGTAGAAGTTTCCTGCAGGAGGCTGAATCTAAGGAGAGCGACCTATTTCATACAAAGGAAGTACCGAAGAATATCGGAGTTCGGAAATAAGGTTCCGAACTTGAAAGCTTCTGATATCAAGACGTCGAGCGTTCGAACTGATACGTAGCGTCTTTGAGCTTTGTAACGAAGTAATAAGTTTAAAAGTTAATAAGTCTAAGTTTCTGCCGGCTGATTACTTTATCCCTGTGCCTTCTGGCGCAAGGACGTTAATAAATTGCAAATCACTTTAAGGTCCTTTCGCCTCGCCAAGGATTAAACAAAATCACTCAGTAGTCACAGCTAACTTTTAGCTACTCGTATAAGATGCACTTGATTCAAAACTAAAAGTCGATATTTTACGAATGTAAGCGTGCACAAATCACTTTAGAAGATCCACCACATGTCGGAGAAACTCAACGAATAAAGTTCACGAGAACAATGTATGGTAAGTACGAATACTATGAAGCTTCGGAAACAAAAAATTAAAGTCGATCGATATTAATACTTGGACTTGCAGATCTTTCTACTATTAAATATAAAAATATCGAACGTCACGTATATTAACTTTTATAAATCGAATTACTTCTAACATCAAAATCAACATACGTGATGGAAATGTATTAAATTAATTATAATAAGTAATGAAGCATATTGACAAGCCTGACGTATGTTCCAGCTTTCAGACAGCCAAATATAATTCACTGAATTATTAGTACATTTCGATTGATGAAAATAGCTTCAAGTCACGGTCGCTATTTATTATTAATTAGCCATTATTGCATCTTTATCCAATACTTCTTATAGAAGAAATTTCTCTCAACATAACTTTTACATTATTTAGTTCTCTGAAAGTAACGGTAGGTCTCCCACTCAATGATATTCTTTATGTTACACATCTGTTTTGAATTATTAAAATGAAATTAGTATTCACTCACGCACATTTTTTTATACGAGTTGTCATTTTCGTTCCTTAAAATTAATAAAATCAGTGTGCCTTTTGTGTGTGTCAACATAAATTAAATAGATCTCATAGATTCAGCGTTAGTAACTGTGTTACAGATTTGGACGTCAGAGGGTCAAAGATCAACAATCATTAATTGAATAATGATGAGAGTGACAAAAGGCGATGGTCATTAATGTTATCGTTGAGCAGTGTTGTGACAGCTATTCATCTCACTATCATAATTACTCCAGATAGGTTTAACCACAAATTGGCTCACTATATCAGCAAAATTCCACTGGCGCATTCGGACGATGTCAACGCGCGTGGCCGGAAGTCAACGAGCTTACATGCGGGGTAGCTCACGATGGCGAAGATACTCGCGGTGGCCAGTGCGATTCTCGCGGGGTGAGAGACAATCGAATCGCACACATGTACAAAGGTCGCGGGGGCGAGGTTATTGCTTTCGCCGGGGTGAACCGCGCGCGCGATCGAGCGGGCGTCACAACAAACGGAAGCCGGAAGTGGCCGCGAATCGATTCGCAGTCCCCGCTCGGTCGTGGACCTCGAAAA